ATGTGCAGATCTTGTGCATCCAAAACTATTGTTCCCCACTTGGTGAGAGCATTTTTAAGAACCCTAACAACTCCACCATTTGATGATGCATTGTCCACAGTCAATGAATATACCTCTTCAATACCTCAGTCTTTCAAACACCTCTCTAAAAGGTCGCCTAACTCTCCCCTTTTATGGCTCCTAACAGAACAAAAGTTTAGCATTTTTTTGTGCAACTTCCAATTTTCATCAATATAATGTGCAGTTAGACATATGTAAGAAATTCTATGAATTAAGGTCCATGTGTCGATAGTAAGTGAGATCCTTTGCCTAGATTCTTTGAAAAATGATTTAAGCTTCAACCTTTCATCCATATAAATATTATAGCAATCTTTGGTTATTGTCCTTCTAGATGGGATCTTAAAATTATAGGGCAATGCAAGTTGCCAGAACTTCCTAAACCCTTTCTTTTCAACAAAACTAAATGGTATTTCATCAACTATGATCAATTCAGCTAAAGCCTTTCTCACAGACTCAGGGCTAAACCTCCATGTGCCTAAATAAGGTATTTGGCTACCATTCTCAACATCACCACCATAATAACTAAGCATTGTTTGATTCTTTTTAGACCCAGCATACTGACTACAATTTAGTAAATGAGTTTTCATTGAGGAGGTCCCATTAGTTATACTATTACAAGCAAAAGACTTGTTGCAATAGTTACATTTAGCCTTATCTTTCCCATCCTTATCAACAAGCTCAGTAAAATGATCCCATACTTCAAATCTTTTCTTACCTTTCATTCTTTTCCCATTAACAGCATTCCCTTTCTCTCCTCTTAGTTGTGCTTGTTTGGAATTATCTCTGAATTCAACTTCTACATTTTGTGGCTACCCATCACCATCTTGGTTCTGCAATAAGCATACCATAAAAATCAACCAACATACAAGTTTAAATACAAATTAATTTATTTCTTATATATCTTAAGTGAAGATACGAACTCTTAAGTTGTTAGGTTGCATCTTTGCCATCAATGCCATCAATGTAATAGTAACACAAATAGGAAGAAGAATTGTAGTTGAAAGATCAAAGCTAACAGTTAGCATAATCCATATAAATGTAAAATTGAAACACACATGGTAACTAATAGAAGATTTAGACGCTCTACCAGCACCAGGCACCAGCAGCCACTGACAAAGTCATAGAAGTTGAAGGGAGAGAATAAGAGCTTCAATGAGAATTGAAAGGTAGGGATTAGGTTTTTGGTTTCATGACTAGAAAAGGATCAAGGAGAAAATGAATAACATTACTACCAAGTAGCAGCACCAACGTTGGCCGCGTTGTTATGAAGAGAAAAAGAGAGGGAAAAGAAGAGAGTTTCATAAACAAATTAAAATTTAGAAAAGAAAATGATAAACAAATGTGGTCATATGATGTCAAAAGCATTTTATACTTATGAAAAAAATAATGGTTGAATGGAAAAAAAATCATGGTGGAATGGCCAAGATAAAGGGAAATTAGATCTCTAGCCTTAGGTTTGATTAGTGATTAGACTAATTTTGGAGGGTAAAGGATTTGGAGTGGAGGGAAGCTTAAAATTGAGTTGAGGCGGAGGTGTGCAGTAGAGGAGGTGCAGAAGGGCGAGTGGCAATTAGGGTTTCCTTTCTGCCACAGCTATTACTCCCCCTTATGCTTTTAAGTTTTGGGCACAAAAAAATTGGGCCTCCAATTTGGTTTTTAAGAGACCCATTTTGGTTTTTTAGTTAGTGAAAGGCCCAATTGAAATCTACCTGAAATTTATTCAGGTAATACCAAACCCGAGATTTAAAACCTAAAAACAATTGGCATTGACCTGAATTCATTTTTTTAGGTCAATTTCCAAGTAACCCTTCAGTTACCCACCTAAATGCTCACCTCTACAAGTGCATTTGGGATTAGATTTGAAATCAATCTTTTTGAAGTTGTTGGGGGAGTTAGCAAAAGAAACATGTTTTTTTTTTTTTTTAATTATTAAAAAATTTTTAATTATTAATTTTATTTTGAGTTAGACAATAGAAGGCAACTCTCTCATCCCTTAACTCATATTATTCATATGCTATATGACTCGAATTTAACATATTTTACTTCTAACAAAATGTGATTAGTACGAAGACACTTAAATTGTTGGGGACAGAATTAGGTTCTTATTTGAGGGGTGAAGCTAAAGTTTTTTGAGTGGAATTTATAGGTGTCTCTTGATGTTTGCCATATGAAAAACCTTTAACAACTGAGTTATCTAAGTTGATTAAAAATCAATTAAATGTTGTAATTCCTCTTTCAATCCTCCAACAAACAAAGCCATGTAACCTGTTAATTTTACACTGCACTTTACTTTAGACTTTGCTTTCTCAAATTTCCTTAATTAATCAACCATGTGACATATCTATTATGCACAAGTGTTTCCACTTTATCAAATGGTTCTTATATATATTTATGGAGCCTCTAGGTTAGATTTTAGCTATTTCAAAACTAGTCCAAACTCAAATAATATTAAGGACATTCCCCCATATTGACTTGATGTATTTAACAAAATCAACTTTTTAAGATATTAGTTTTAAAAATTTAACACTAAACTTGATCAACAAGACAATACTTTAATACTAAATCAAACCCTTGAGAATGCATCGTATGCTTTTGCGTATGTACCACGATCACTTTATCTGAGATTTCCAAGCTTGATAATTAAGCTATCTCGTTCTTCATCTTGGATTCATGCCAAAGAGTGGCTTTTGAATTTTGAGCTTATATATTCATCATCTATTTCTCCTTACATGAGTTGGTATGAATTTTTAGACCTATTCCAAGTTTGATATGAGTTTGGGACTTGTCACATGGATTGTGGGCTTTAACAAGCTTCTCGAAGAAAAAGCCTACCCGAATACCATGCATGTAATACCTTAAGAAAATTATTGAAATACATTTTGATTTGATATATTATTTGATATTTGTTTAATTTAGTTATTAAAATATAATATGATTGTTGTTAGGTGATTTTTATAATATACATGTATAATTATATTTTTAAATTGGTTTTTAATTTAAAATTTAAAAATAATAACTTTTTAATAAATATTTATGTGATATATTGAATCAAAAAAATATACTAATTAATATCTAAAAATTTATATAACAGTAAACTCAAATGAGCATTCAATTTAAAGCCAATTTATAATTTGTGAAGTAGCTTTTCCTATCGGCAAAAAACTGGCTTGTATTATGGTTATGAAAAGTGTTTGTAAGCCATCTTAATTTTTTTTAGAGAATTTTTTTAAAAACTTAATTTTTAATTAATATTTTCAAAAATCAACTATTAGATTAAAACTTCTATTCATATAAATCATTGAGAGACTTATCCAACTCATTGATTATACAAAATTTAACAATGTTAAATATAAGTAAGTAAATATAATTTCTTTGATTAAATGATTATAAATGTTAGATCAATATAAAAATTGACTTGCATAATCTAGATAAATAGAATTTTCAATTCACCAATTAGTTTTTAAAATTTTAATTTGAATGTAAATTTTTAAACGGTTCTTTCAAAAAAAAAAAAATTAAAAAGATGATTTGCACTACACTAACCTCATTTATTTTCCTAATTTTTTGAGTTAGAATTTCCCACATTAAATAGCTTCTAGATTAAATATTTTTCTTAAACTCGTATCAAGTTGTTTAAACTTCAGAATCTAATTGAAGCACCTTGATAATTCAGATGAAGAATTAATCTCTTAAACATTCTAATAAAAGCTTAACCAAATTAGTACCTAATAATTTAAAAATCTTACTTGAGATAAAGTTAAGGATTTAAACTCTTGTAATATTAAGTAATTAATTTATTCACTATATATATATAAAGAAAAACCCTCTCAATCATTTATCTATTTTACTTTTAAAATTTATTTATTTTTTATAACTGTCAAATTTTCAATTATTTTAAGTTATAATATAAGGTGAAAAGCTATTTCAACCTCTTTTCACAAAGAGCCAAAAGCGAAGTGGGGTGACCCCATTCTCTTAATTTGGACGAAAAGCTAGTTACAAAGATGCATTTATTACTCTCTTCTTCACTAATGGATAGCTTGTGAAACAATTAAAAAAAATGAAAAGAAAAGAGAGCTAGCAGTTTTCTTATAATATTTACTTAATTAATAAAATTATAAAGTTAAAGTATAATTTTGTACAGGATAAATTGACAAGTTTAGGGGGTTGCCTTGACTAATTATATGTTTGTTCTTCCAATAATGTAGTAATTCGTTAAGATAAAAAATGATAAAATAATAACACAAGAATCACAATATCCTATGGATATCAAACTAACAAAGCAAACTTCAAAAGGCCCAAAATTTTGACATACAAAATGTTAAACCTAGTTGTGAAATTTTTAACCACACAACCAAAAGAATGAAATAGATCAATTTATGAATAAGCTTCAACAAGCACAATTAATTACATGAAAAAGAGCTGAAAACTTGAGAGGATTGTATAGACATGATGTTGAGATACATACCAAGAATACTTCAAGCTAGAATTGGATGCCGAGATTGAAGAAGGAAAAGAGAAGAATTAGGAGCTCCCTTTAGTCCAAAACAGAGGAAATTTAGCAAATTGATTCTTGTAATTTGTTTTGGGCTACAAGGAACCCTCAGTTCTGCAATTTTCAGCTTAAGATCATGAACAAACTCAAGATATCAAAGAAGATGGAGAAAGAAGAAAGAATATTTTTTTAAAAAAAGGCAAGTTGAGTGCATTTATAGAGGAAAGAAATGAACCCCCTAATTCTGCTATTATTTCTTGAATTGCATGCTTATGGTTTGTGCAAGCGTGAAGGCAATGTTTTTAACTGATTATGGGGTTCAAGCTAGACAACAACTAACAAAAGCCTAGGTTGAGGATTAAAACATAAACAGTTTGAAAACAAAGGTTTGTTTCTCTAAACTGTTGTCTGAGTAACAAGTTGTATTTCTTATGTTTCTTTAGTTGGTATGGGGTTGGGTTTGCTTTCTCAAGAATAACTTGGTTATTTAAAGTAGGTGATGGAGATTTTTCACTAACCCTTGCTCTACTTTGTACACATCAAGTTCTCTTTCTCTTGATTCCCCTCTGTTTTTATTCATGTTGAGGGCAACGTGTGAAGGAGGAAGATTAAACTTTTTTTTTTTAAATTTTCCTTTTTCTTTGTTTTTTTGAATGAGGTTCATTTCAGATTATGTATGGCATACATTTTTCTGCTTTATCTCTAAATACAAGGGGGAAAAAAAGAAAAACTCACAAATTCAATGATGTTGAAAATATGATTTGCATTGCATACCAAGCAGAGATTTCAATTGCTAAGCTCCAATCCAAGATCTGGACCAGAGAAAATAAGGCAACTATGAATTTGGGCACTTTTAGTTGTTGGGAGAGTTTAACAGGCTCATAGGCTCTTTCAATAAGTGGTATTAAAGCTAGTGGTGGGTTTAGTAGAATTGTGAGTATAGAAAGGTTTATGGCACAATAAGGACTTAGTAGTAGTAATCCGATGGAAGAAATTGAAGACTAGTGAAGTCTTCACTGGCTTGGGGAATGTGGTGAGAGCCCACATGTGAGAGATCACAAACATGTATAAGAAGATGTCATAATAAATCCAAAAGACATGCTTATTAGGTTCATAGGTGTCTCACATCTATACACTCTAACAACTTGTTTCTCGTCAATGTGGGATTTTTGCACATCACTCAACTCATTTTCACTCACATATTCATATACTTCAATATTCTCTCATATGAATATGTGAGTCTCTCTCATGAGTGTAACCACTTTAGATTTTCGACCTTGTCTATCTACAAAACAACTTCGGACCTTGTTTATCTACTTGAAGACTTCACTTTTCTTCTATTTTCGCCATGGGATCACTACTGCGAAGTCCTTATTGCACCATAGACTTCTCCACATGCACAATTTTACCAAACTTGTCCTTGAACATTGATCACACTAAGATTGAACCACTAGCTCTGATACCACTTGTTGGGAGACTCTAGGGTCAATTCGAGAGCGTACACATGAAAAGGCACAAACACATATGAGGAGATACCATATTGAATCTAAAAGATATGCCTATTAAGTTCATATGTCTCCCACAAATATATTGCACTCTAACACCTTGTTTTTTTGTCAATGTAGAATCTTGTTTACATCTTTTAACTCCACTCACATGTTCATAAACTCCAATATTAATTACTATGTCAAGTATTCAACTGGAAACCAACTTGTAATAAATGGAGGAGCCAACTTGGAGTAGTAGCACGGGCACATAGTGGATAGCTGATATTCAGAGTTAACATATAGTACTATTATTTATAGTTTAAATTTTCTTATACATTTGACTAGTCCAAATTGCAAACTGTTAATTGCTACCTTAAATCTCTGCATCAAACCCTCCTACATGAGATAACACCACTTAACATTATATATCTTGGTTTATGATGACCAAAATTATTCTTAGGTGAGGACCAAAACCCAAAAAACCTCCCATCAATTAATTAATATCATGTCAATCTATCAGACATGTAATCCCCATTTCAACGTCACATTCATTTGGAATTAGATGTTGCACCTAAATCTCTAATCTTTGTCACATTCATTTGGAAATAGACATTGCACCTAAATCTTTAATCTTTATTGTCCCATTTTGATGCATTTTTTAGCCTTTTGGATCTTGCTAGTGGCCAAAGGCTTTGGTTTGTAAGGACCATATTTTGAATCGTTCCCGTCAACCTAGTCTTGTGAAAGATATCATATCCTCAGAAAATCATTCATAGATTTAATGTCAATCATATATGAAAATCAATCTATTATATATGGTTAGAAAGTTGTCATTCTTTTTATAATTTTAAAAGGGTCCATGCTTTAGTGATGCTAGTTTGGATTAAATGTTGTTGGACACAAAAATTAACCAGTAGCACACTCCAAAACTATATTTTTGGGCCAAAATTCATGTGAATCTCAAAAACTTAAATTTATATTATTAGTAGTAGTTGGTTGTAATATTATCTCTTTTTTCATTTTATGAATAGCAAAGAATCTAATTTTATTAAAAAAAGTATAAAGTTGTAATTTTTATATATCAGTTATAATCAAACTTCATTTTTTAGGTTGGATTTTGGACATCACAAATTCACAATATATATACATGTTAGAGCCAAATATAAGTTGTTAATTATTTGTTAACAGCATGCACATGTATAAGGTCCAATATACATTGCTAAAACTTTAAACTCAAAATATTAAAGGAATAGTGTAGGTAAATCATCATCTTAATATTTTTTTAAAGATTAGTCTAACAACTTATTTTAATTAATATTTTTAAAAACCGATACTTAAATTAAAAATTCTATTTATATAAATTATACGTATTAATTTTCATATTAATCTAATATTTATACTCTTTTAATCAATAAAACTGTATTTACTGATATATTTAATGATAATAATTTTCTTGTAATTGATGAAGTAGGTAGTACTATTAGAATAATTTAAAATTGACATGCTTGACTTATATTAATAAAATTTTAATTTAAATGATTAATTTTAAGCTTATTAATTAAAAAACAAACTTTTAGATAAATCTTTTTAAAAAATTTTAAAAATAACTTATTAAACACTATTTCTAAAAGTTTTTTTTTTTTTTTTGAAAATGCTCTTTTTCTAAAAGTTAAACTATCATTTTTATTGGTCTAATCTAACAAGTTAAATACTCTGTACATTCCCAACTCCCAAGAAGAATACATTCACATGTATGGAAGACATTTTTCATTTGTAGTACATGTCTTTCACCAGAAGAGATAAATTTTGTTGGTTCATGTAGAATGAAGAATTCCATACGATCATAAAATAAGAAGAAATATAAAAAATTAATCAGTTCAGTTTGCCACCTCTGATTGAAGCATGACTTGAATTGCATTTTTACTTGTAGTTAGCCAAATGAAAAAAGGGCAAGCACATGCTCCGACCTTGGTTCTAGGCAATATATATTGTCAGCATGTACTGTAATTGCTTAAGATAATTTATTTGACTTAAATAAAGAGAATAGTACCTCTATAAAGCGCCAAGTATTGTGTTGATACCAATTTAGAACAAAATACCAAAACAAAAAACCAAAAGATTTTTCTTGTTCTTAAAGAATAATTAATCCAAAATGATTTGTGGTTATATCTAACCATTTTTCCAAAAGGATAATCGATATTAGTTTCTTGAGAATAAGTCTTCTCAATCTAGAGTAGCTTGAAAATGGGGTATCGTTATTGTCATGATAAGAAATGTTAATGTCACTAATTTTTTAATTCTTTTTCTTGAATAGTGTCTATTTACACCTATGTTTGCAAATTGATCATAAGGAGCCACGTGTCCTATTTGGTTTGAATTTGAAGCAATCAAGAGTTGGTAGCCACAATCTTACCTTTAGATCAACTTGATGGTTGTTACCACATAGTTAGCAAATTAGTTGGTTTTTTGCAAATCTTTAGCATGTTGCCACTAATTTTGGGATTTTGTTGCAACTCTACATCTTGCTATTGTTGATTCAAGAGATTGTTGCAAATTTAATGTTGTTGTTGGTTTTCAAGATACTACCAATAAAACTCCACCATGCTATCAAGGTGTTATAAATACGTGCCAATAAGATCAAGCAAGGAAGACTTGCTTCTCACATAACTAGCCCAATGCTATCAGCATTTTATTTACACTTAACAAGCTTCCTCCCTGCAATTTAGTTTTCTTGCCATGCATTATCTTTCTTCTCTTTTCCTCTATTCTTCTCTTTTATTTTGATCAACAAATTAACATTTTGGCTTTAGTTGTGGGAAGTCCCCAATGTTCTTTTAAGGTAATTATTTATGAACCTTTATGCATGAATGTACCCCCATTTTTGTGAAAATTGTCTAATCAGGGCGCATCTCATAATTTATTTAACCGGCGCTTTTTCATCGACTTGCAGTCGAGTTCTACGCTTAGAAGTAGTGAGGGTCGTCAGGAATCTCTCTTTCTTAGTTTGAGCAAAGTAAGTGGCAAGCTTTCGCAATCCTACTTGCCACGTGGATAGAAAAGAGAGATTTTGGGGACAATAATCTCTTTTTGGCCATGCTTGGTGGGACTCACCTTGGATTTCACAAGTTTGTTGATCATATCCTCTATTGTTAGATTGTGCCACCATACCAGGTCTTTATTTTGATAACTACTAGAAGTTCTTCATCACTTCGCAATATACTTCCTCTTAGGTCAATCCACTTTATGATGAGAGGGCAACAATAGATAGTGAGTTTTCCAAATCACTCACTGAAATAATAGTTGATGCTAATGAGAAATTTGAAAGGCTTCATGAAGAACACAAGAAGTGGTTAGAGGAAAATTGGAAAAGATGCAAACAAGAGGTTCAGAAATTTCAAGAGAGGAACCTTCAAAACTTAAAACTTCTCAACCCAAAAGTGAGGTCTTAATGGAGGATTTAAAGAAGCACCATGTAGCCATGCCTCTAGGTGCTTTAAAATAGTTTTGAAAATAATAGAACATTATAGAGATGCCAACTGTTATAATGAATGAAGGTTAGATGGCACTAGGGTCAGAGATTAACCCCACGAGCACACTCGGGTGGCATGAATCACAATTGCAGCATGCTACCCAAAGTTAGTGATGCCATGCAGCTTTGGAAGAGACTTCAACAAGTATGCCTCCAAGTTATTCTAAGTTTGCAAAGACTAATAACAGCAACATTCCTATTCCTGAGAGGCACAAACCAACTCAATCGCAAACATGTCAGCCATTTGTTAATCAAGGTCCATATGATGGCCGACAACAAGTTGATGCTACCACACAAAAGCCAACACTTTGGTCAACGTCAATACATAAATTTGATAAGGTATCCACCTTATCTATTTCTACTTTTTTTGAGACTAATGAGCATATTCCTTCTACCTTGCTTAAGAAGTGTTCACGGCGACCATGCTTTCTTACTGGTCGAAGCCTTTCTAAGTTCAACTATAGACAATGGTTGAAGGTAAAATATCCATTTGAAGTCATTAGTTTGAAGAGGGGAGTTATTTTCAATCTTGAGGGAAAACCTAGTTAGAATGAACAATAGAGGCTACAAGACCTTGTTTTTAATGAAGTTCCTAAAGCTATAGAAAAAAAAGGCAGCAAGGCTTGTGCCATAGTAGCTTGA